TTCCTTCATTCAGCAGTGCTGCAGCTGTAAGAGCTGAAAAATCCTGGATCCCTGAACGCCTCGCAGCACAAACCGTCTGCTGACTAAATTTGATTCGTTCTGCAGTTAAAAGTGAAATAAACTGAAGAGAGACGTAGAATCAAACCCGCTGGCTTAACTTTGTCTCTATTCTCAGTTTAAAGTCTGAGATTTCAGTCTGAGCTTTTCTGTCACCACTGCAGATTTTGTCTGGCTAAAGTTTTTACAGGTTGTCACGCACGCTGGGGGGCGGCGTTCCTTGGCTTTTCCTGCTCTCCGACCTCTCGGCTCGTTCCTGTGCAGGGTCCTAATGACGGCCATATTTCAGACTACGACTCCTGACTCGGACAACTCGCTCACCAATCGCTTGTTCTGTGGTTTTCAGTCACAACTCTGAAACCTTTCACTTGATTCCTCTGCACGCTGTCATTCTGTGCAGTGCATATATATTCAGTTTTATTCAGTTTTATTTACACAGCGCCAAATCACAACAACAGTCGCCTCCAGGTGCTTTATATGGTAAGGTCGACCCTACAATCATACATACAGAGAAAAGCCAACAATCACATGACCCCTTTGAGCAGCACTTCAGTGACGGAGCTCAGTCTGCAGACTCTTTTCACGTCGTTGAAACATAAACACACTTTTCTACAGATGTGTTTGAAGCGTCGACAGAAAAATGGACCAAAACACAAAAACATCTCAGTCCGAGCAGCGAGAGAAGGGGATGATGATGGGGAGGAAGAGGAGCAGCGGGTTGAGGTGTGACTCACGTTTTCTCGCGAGGTGGGAGGGGATGCTGGGCCTGGGCCTCCCCCTGTAAGGCCTGGAGCGCTGATACTGCCAGGGCGGAGAGAGGAAAGGAACAGGAGGAAAAGCCTGAGGAGACGGAGAGGAGACGGAGAGAGGAGGGACGGAAGCTGATTTACAACATTGAGACAAGAAGACGGAGAGAGACGGACAAAAGGAGGACTGGAAGGACAACAGTTCATCACATGTCTGCATATCACAGAGCAGAGAGACAGAGGAGAGAGGAGAGAGAGGAGAAGCCTCCATAACAAACGTTTGACAGGCAGCAGAATCTCTGAAGATGACCAATCAGAGGCAAGAAACACAAAAACCTTCACCTGCACCACGAAAAGTTTTTTTAATCCCTTCAACCTTTTCCTGTCTGAGCCCGAGTCACATGACCAGAGACGGTCAGAGCTCTGACAGCTGGATGTGACCGAACAGCTGTTTGTTTAAACTTATCAGCTGCGTGTGTGTGTGTCTGTGTGTGTGTCTGTGTGTGTGCACGCTCACCGTGCGCTCTCTCCACAGCGTCCAGCCTGCGCTCTCTCTCTCCGTCACACTCGTCTGGGTTTGCTGATCCGTCTTTTCCGTCATCTCATGGCAGCGACACCTGGTGGTCACCATGGGAACAGTCTACACACACACACACACACACACACACCTTATGAACACTTGGACATCTTCGATCGTCCCACATCAGTCACACTGATCAACACAGATTCATCGATCATGTCAAAGTTTGATGATTTCATAACAAGAAAAATTCAGTTAATCAAACCTGACAAACAGAAACATCAGAGCTCAGAAAG